TAGGGACTGAATGAGAAGATGAATTTAGGATTGGGGATTTATCTATACATTTCCCATGGTTTTTTTAGGGGTGAATTGATAAACAATCACCCCCTAAATACTCACGTATAGTCGGATTTTTTCTTGGGAACGGAGCTCCGACCCATTCCACGATTATCAAATGCGCAAATCTCCACGCCGGAAACCCCGCCGCCGCCGCCGCCGCTGTCGCATCTCCGATCTCCGGCATCTGGCGATTCGTCATCGTTCGGCGTTACAGTTCCGACCAGGCCCTCTATCTGAGGATTCCACGAATCGTGGGTCCCAGCCAATCCTGGAAATTAATCACCGTTTATTTTTTTCAATCCAAAAGCCCATTTCAGAACGATTACAGAACAAGACGAGCCAACCCCATTCAAATTTCCAATCGAAAACTTACAAGAGACCCCAAAAGCACTCGATTAAGAACACATTTGGGAAGACAGCAACAGTTTCTAAAACGAGAAGGGGGAGAAAAGGTAACGGAATGCCTCACCGATGATCATGAGAACTTTGACGGGTCCTCGGCCGTAGGTTCTGTAGAAAAGCTTGATTCCGCCGCCGTTACTATTCGGTGCGTCTCCATCTTTGTTGCCGTGTGCGTCCACGTAGCAGAACGGCATTTTCAAGCTGTGGCCGTCTGCAGATAATTTGGGATTCAATTCAAGAGACACAGAACAAGCTGTGATCGATCGTCAAATGGAAGAATGAGAAGAAGCTGTAATGGTGGAGTTGCTGGTTCGTTACATACCACGCGCTGCAAAACGTGCTGCAATTTTCACTATCGTTTTCTTTTTTCAATTTTTATATATTACATATTTTTTTCCTTTTCTTCGTCTCACATGCGAGTTGATTAATCGTCTAACGTAATCTTAAGCTTATAATCTTTCTTAAAGAAATTCTAAGTCAACTTAATTACTTTTTGATAAAAAAGAAAAAGTTAGTATACTTATGTTTCTTGTAAAATAGATCTTACGGTCCGTTACGAAATTATTCCGTCGGATTTATAACCGTTAAATCAACTATCTTCAACAATTACATGATGATCTAATAATTACAAATTACAATATAATAATTTTGTTAAATTTTTTTTTTTTTCTAAAACAATAGGAAATAGTTTTGTTATGAAATCATAGAATTTCTCTTTCTTTTAATTTTCTTAATTACTTGAATTGAGTTGTGAGGTGTTTGGTACGTGGCAGATAGATTGAGGAGGTCGGCTTGTCCTTTTACTCGATTGTCGGCTTTGGGCAGCTTAGAGCATCCACAATGCTTTGGGTCTCTTTTTGCATATATGGCAAATAAATAGACTTAAGTCCATAATGACATGGACAAACCTAAACTAAAAAAACCAAAATCTATCTAATGCAAAACCAAAAAGTACTAGGTCTAGAATACATGACAACCAATAAAAATGCTCTAGTATATTTCATTTATTAAAAGAAAAATTAAATGAGGAATAAATGATGAGTGCTTGGGTTTGTACTTGGGTCTAAAATAGACCCAAGTGTGGACTAGGTCTCATTTTTTTATTGCCACATAAGCTAGACTAGGTCCACTTTTAATTGCATTGAAGAACACTTTTTTATAGACTAGGTCTATTTCTTACATGGCATGTAACTTTTTTCTAAGAAACCCAAAGCATTATGGGTGCTCTTAGGACCAAGTCAAAAGTCATAATTCAATTTATCATCACAATACTATATATCAATCATTAAAGTCACATGATTAAATTCATCTTTGTGTAGTCTTCTAGTCTCATTGTCCATACTTAAATCCAAACATGATACCCATGAAAAAAGTACCTAATTTTGCGGTACCACTAATTTTCTCAGGCATCAGTCGGTTTTATTATGGAGCCATCAGATGACTCGACTTATGGAGTCATCCCCCTATCCCTCTATATATTAATCCAGAATGCACGTGGCTGCTTCTGGTACTTCAAAATCCTATGTGGCAAAATTACATACTTCGTTATTAGGCTTGAATAAATTTTAATTTAATTTCAAACCAAAAATAATTAAGTTCGGATTACCATAAATATGTTGATTATTTATGGTCATGTTACATATATTAATTACATTTTAATATCATTCCTTATTATAACTATTGAATTGTATATATATTTTAAAAGTTAATAACTTTTGTATTTTTTATCAGTTTTACATATGTAATATATCAAATTAATCTTCTTTTGATGAGCTTCGATTTAACATTTATATTGTATGTATAAAAAATAATTTATATTTATCTTTATAACAATAATAAAATTATTTTTAATATTAATTAGAAAAATAAAATTATTTATCAACTAATATATTTATATTTCAAGTAGTTATATAATAAGTTATAATTAATATAATATAACACATGTAAGTCATAAGTAACCCATATCATTCTAAAATATATAGTAATATATTTTTTTTTGTAAAAAAGTAAACTAAATTTAATATAATTTTCTCATTAATTTTAAAATTTAAGAATATTTTTTTACCAAGCACTCGTGTAATACGTGGGTGTTGTACTAGTCTATAGTTATTCACAAATGCTATATTGACACGTGTCCTGCAATAAATGCACATTGAACACGTGTCAATATATAAAGTAATAAATGGCTCCATAAAAGAACTATCCGATGACATAGAATTTCTGTCAATCGAAAATGCCAACAAGGAAGGTTCAATTCTCTTATATTTGCCATGTTAGCTTAACTTGATTATATTTGCATAATAGTCATTAATAATTTCTAATGAATTTAGTTAATGATTGTGGGGTAGAAGATATGTCCGATTCATTGCACCAAGTAAAATCTTTATTTTCAGGCTGTGAATCATTTTGCTCATGGAATAGAGTTGGGAGTCTTGGGACCACGAATTATATTTTGATTTTTGAGAGCCATATTTAAACAGGCCCAAAAGGCTAAATTGAACCTGAAGCGGATCAAGATGAAAGCCCACCCGGTAACATGAAAAAAGGCTGATAGAAGCCTCGAATCAAAATCAGGCTCCACGGCCCAAGCCCAAGGCACAATTCTGGGCCCACCAAAATTTGGCAATTTGCTCACCAATAGGCAATAGGATTAATTATACAGTTAATTTCAAGGTTCATCCTGCATATAATCAATAAATACTGTAATCCTATGAATTTTATACAGAGAGATCAGAATCCTCTATAATCAAATCATGAAGTAGTATGCCAGCAATCCTATTATCCTAAACAAGCATCATTGAGTGTTTTCTTTTTGCTCATTCCTTTTTTTTTTTTTTCTTCTTGTTCGATTAAGTGCATATAAATAATGAAGACGGAAATATTTTCAGCAGAACATACCATAACATGTGAAAGAGATGATTTCCCTGCTTTCTGAGCTGCAAAAAGTTGTGTACCTGTTTATACAAACAAGGCACTCGAGATTTGAATTTTCAAATAATCGCATTTTTCTCTTCGCTTGATAACTACTTAGTCCACTGCATCCGATGAGTGAGTTTTTCATCCCATATTCCTGTTGCTCGTTCATTAACACGGCAAAAAAAAAAATTTCATTGAGATTCTAGAAAATAATGAAATAGAGAAATAGAGATGAAAATAGTTATCGTACTTTTAAGCACAAGCATACTGGTCGTATACACAGTTTTAACCAGTTATAAAACAGAACCCACATTCTGAAAGCACATTTCACATTGAAAGACAAATAGGAGAGCAAATGGACGTGAAATGCGCATACCTAAACGTTAGAAACAAAAACCTGCTGATTTTGCATGCCAAGCTCGATTCTAGAATGAAACAGCACCAAAAAAACGGATCGGGTTGTGAGAGTTAATAAGAAAGCTGTTAATATATAGCCTTCTGTTCGTGTATATTTATCAGTTCGGATAATCTCCTCTGCAGAGGATATTTTTCGTCTTTAATTCCCATTTTGTTCATGAAATGCACCATTTTTGTGAGTGTTTCCATAACCTCTTCGCTATCACTGCCAAAGGCCTTTTCCTGAATCTTCAAAACTCTCTTGAGCTGGCACAACAACACACTTTCATCCTTCTCCATTCGTGTCTGAATGGACACCAAACAATCAAGAGCCTCTCCTGTTAAAAAATAAATGATGCACACGGAAGATTTAAAAAAAGAAAGAAAGAAGGAAAGTAGAAGGGAAAACAGAAGATGAAAAATGGAACTGCCCTTTAATGATTTTAAACACAACAAGCTGTGGGAGAACTGATTGTGGAGTCCTATATTGACCGAATTTTAATCCAATATTAATTTTGAGCTTTCAATGAGTTAAGAGGCTGTAGTGAGGCATAAACTACAATTAAAATTTGGTCTAATCCCAAATGTTCAAAGATTACAAGTAACCCCGTACATTGTTATGCAGGCCCACTTGAGAGAATGGGGCTTTCTTGATTACGCACTCATCTTCAGTTTGTAAAAGAAATTATTATCAATAGGTATTTTCATAGTTTTGAGAGGCAGCCATGTTTTTCTAAGTTGTTATAATATATTTTAGACACGAGTAATATAATCCGGCATATTCACCGAACTGCACAGATTTCATAAATTGCTTACCGACTGGTACCGAGTCCTTCCCGAAAGCTTTTTCACGGAGGCCTAAAACATCCATTGCAAGCCTTTCAGCTTCTTCATCACGATGCAGACTGAAGAGAGTAACAGCCAAATCTAGCATGGGAAAGGTGATTGATGGGTCATCAGGGGCCACATTCTTCTTCATAATTTGTAAGCTTATCCTCAGCAAGCGCTCGGCCTCAGCATAGTTCTTAAAGCGTGAATAGGAAGTTGCAAGATTCACAAGGTGGGGAACTAAGCTGGGATCATCATTCCCTTTACATTTTGTCGTAATTGATAAGCATTCTTCTAGCAGAATCCGGCCTTCTTCCCCCCTGAGATGAGACCAAGTTGTGAGAAATCAAATGAAAACAGAAAAAGCACTGGGACTGTGATATGTGACACCTGCAACTTGATTACAACTAAAACGACAGTATTTTTTCCATATACAAACACAAATTGGCAATACAAATTAACAAAGTATGTTCTTTTTGTTGTACTCTGACAGGGCATGAAAGAATAAAAAATTAAATCTGGAAGCAAAATCCAAAAAGAGAGAAAATAATGACAAGTCTTCATTTTTTAGTCTTATATCTGAAATTCTGAAATGGAGTGAGATCAAGTTCTTTCTTCACAAGTCAAAGCACATTTCCTACCTTCCCACAGCATGAAGTAATTCGGCTAACTCTACTCTCATCTTCATCATGAATTCACTATCCAATGACATGGTTTTCGAATCCCTGATGATCTGGATAGCACTCTTGTATAGATCAATTGCCTCATTCACATTTCCTAAAGCAAAAAACAAAAAAGAAAAGTACAAACTTAAAAGATGAATATGCCCCATAAGTGACAGTGATAAGCAAGGAGGTCCATATGACAATCCCAAGAACAGCATCCAACATACTTAAAGTCAACTGACTGTACCTACTTCAGCTACAATTTTGGTCTAAAAAACTAAGTGCATGAGATGACTCTAACGGCAATGTCTGCCAAAACACAAAAGAGATTTAATGAAAAGAATAAATAAAGGTTACTTGTCCTGAATCTTTCTCTTTTCTTTTTGTAGCTTTGCATCAAGAATATTCATACCAGCGTCACACCAAAATGTTACTAGACATTAGTGATATAACCCGATTCCTATTTTCTCCATTAATCTAGGTTCACATACAGAACAAGAAAAAATATATTTGCTCCTAATTGAGATGAACAATGTAGATGTATGCACAAACATCAACAGGAACACAGATCTTGATGAGTGTTAATGATTGTGGGTGGAAAATATTAATGCCTAATATGAGATAAATAGTCTGACCATTTACCTTCCATGCATTTCACCTTGGCCAAGTAACACATAGCCATTCCCACTCTCCTGTCTTTTTCACCATATGAATTGATAAAAATATCTACAACTCTGTTCCAAATAGCATGAAGCAAGACAGTTCATAGTCAAAACAAATAGAAGTTCTCTATTTCTCACGCATGATCCAATGTACTAACCGACTGAATGTGCATTCGGCATCTGATGTTTTCCCCTGCTGTACTAGAAGATTGCCCAGTTCACATAACGGCAATACCAATACGTCATCCTCTTTTCCTCTACTAGACTTCAATATTTTAATAACTCGCTGGTACATTTCAATAGCTTCAGTTGCTTTTCCACTATCAGCCAGCACTTTAGCCAATCCCATCAATGGTGTGCCAAGATAAGGGCTCTCAGTTCCTAAATGCAAAAACCGAATATCACTCAGAACCTAATTCATGCAATTGGTTACCTGAATTGGAAAAATGATGCAATTAACAGTTTCAAAAGCAAC